AACCTTTGCAATATATAGGGTTTTCATTTTGTCTAAAAATCTCCCTCTGCAAAAGTGTTAACATTGTTTTTTTAAATAATAAAAATGTCCTTCCCCTATAAAATATAGGAAATTAAGTTTTAAAAATGAAAAAAGCAAATGAAAATTGCCATTTAGATCTCAGCTTAAAGTAGCCTCCCCAAGCTTGGTAGGTTCCAGATGTGTCTGGATTACAATTACTATGATCTCAGCCACTTGGTCACACTAGCTAGGAATCATGAAGGTGGCAATCTGAACACATATTCAGGATCCCAGATTGGGGAAGGCTGCTTTAAAGTAAATACTGTTTCAAACTTCACAATATAATATTTAATGTACTACCCAAAGCCTCATGTAACCAAGATAGCTACCTATGAATTAGTATTTTCCTTGTGATAAATTTACAGTAAGCTGTTGACCAGAGGATTGATCTTGTCAAATTCTTACAGGGAAATAAGGGCTATATATCATGGAGTAGTTGCTTAAGCTCCACTATAGACTGCAGAAAAACAGTGTTTCATCTGTGCCAGTGAGGGTCAAGTACTACAGAATGCTGACCAATTTGGTAGGGAAGAAAGAGGGAAATGGCCTTGAGAACAGAAAAGAGCCACTTATCAAATAAAATCTAAGTAAGGCATATTCTGCCATCTGGTGGTGAAAGATACAAATGTAATCATTGTAGCAGTTCTAAGTCTGGGTTTTAAAATTGTTTAAAACATTTATACCCTACCTAGCTTCCATGGAGTTCTAGGTGGCCCAACGCATATTTCCATTATCAGATATCAACTGGCCCATACAACCTATCAATGCATGATGTAGTTTGGGTTTCACTTAGTACATCATGTGAATCCAAGCAATTGTGTTTTGTACAGTGTTTACAGTTTAGCACAATGTGTTAAACTGACCACTGCCTAGGGAGCTGAAGATGATGACAAACATCCAAGTATCTCTATTAACATTCTACTCCAGTTTAATCAAACAAGCACTATTGGGTGGTATGAACTGTATCACATTTAACTGTGGGAAGATGGTAGTATTTCTACGTGGGGAAAACTTGTCTATTAGGAAAAAAAGAATATTTTTGTCCTTTCCGCAGCATGCTCAGTTGCTCAGAAAGTGGGGAAACAGAAGCTTTGAATCTCTGCAGCCTGAAATGACAATGACGAATTTACAGTATGGTCTGGTGGTCAAAAGGATTAGTGCATTATACTTACACACTAGAAATGTACGAGGAACACATGGAAATGCAACATT